CCAAAAAGCTAATAATTATCATCATATTTCGCGGTAATGGAAATCTGGTTGTTAAGCGTATGCAGGGGAAATTCTTAGCGAAAAGCTACTGAAATTGTCTCCACAATTAAACAATTACCCTTGTACGTTGATCCTCTAGCGGTCCATTTGGTCAGTCAATGAGACAGCCAATTAACAAGTTGACCAGTCAGTAAATGAGACAGTCACTCAGCAAATCAGCCACTCAGTCAGTTAGTCAATGAGTCAGTCAGTCAGCAAGCAGCCTGTCCATCAATAAGTCAGTCAGTTGGTTGGTCAGTAAACTGTAAGTCAGCCATTCAGCGAGTCAATTAGTAACCCTTGTAGAATCAGACACTGTGTAGAATCAGTATGGCGGTCGACACTCGGTCAATATGGTGACCTTTAAATGTCGGCAGAATATCAGTCAACTGTCAGTGGTATATCAATCAACTGTCGTATAATACAATGTGCTTCAGGGTATTTTTGTTTCTTGGAAATGTCTAGTACAGGTGACTAGAAGTGTTACGGACCTTATGATCCGACAACGTTGATGTCCATGAAAAGGTTGCTGAAAAACAGACTTCACATCCTTTTTATTATTTTGAGAGCCTTTGAATAGGGCCATTAAATGTGGTCTCTCAGAAATGAACAATTTTATTGAAATGAACAAACCTCCGTAAGACACCTTTCGGAGACTTGATCAGATATTTGGGTTTCTGTTTAGTAGGATGTTTACATTTGAACAAATGGTTTGATGCATGGCAAAATTTTTGAATAGTCGTTGGTGGCTGGCATTTCTGATGCTTTTGAAGGGCTAGCTGGTGGGGCATTCGACTATCTAAACTACCAACATACCCAGGAATTTGACCAAAATTTTTTAAAAAAGTCAAATGCCTGGCGTTTTGCGCAGGGGAAGCATGGGCTGTTTTGGAGTCGGTCAGTACAAAATGCAGACTACAGACTGCTGCTGACCATTGTTTTCACCACGCAATTAGAACGAGACAAAAATAGTCCCACTGACTGTTTTCTAACCCTGAAAACAATGGTCTGCATTCAGTCTGCAGTCTGCATTTTGTACTTTCCAGTTTTGGAATGGACTGGTTCATTAGTCAGGAAATGTGTGCATAAAGAATCTTACATTAAGTACAGGAATGGCAGTCTCCACCAAATTTCTACAAACTCAGGAAAGCCTACCTTTGATGTATTTAGCTTTACAACGTCTGGGCCAACAGACATGCTGTGTAAGCTTAATGATTTGTGAGCTTGCTTCCCGCCATTGAAGACGCACATTTCTGTACATGTACATAAGCCAAACGACGACGGATAAATCCTAAATGCTTAGCCGTTTAAGCCACATCGATGAAGTTCAATACAAACGTTGAAATCACCATAAAGTTCATGAGGCTCTGAAAACGTGGGTAACTTTCAGGCGCCATCTTGAATTTTTTCCTCGGTCCCAGGTTTCTCTCAAGGAGGGGTGTTTGCGGGGTGGGGCGTTGCAGGGGTTGGAGAGGCAGGGAGAGGTTGTGGGCATTAAGGTAAAGGAAGGGCGGTTTGAAAGTTTTTTTTTGTTGTTGTTTTTTACTTTAGGATGTCAATTTTGTCACGAACTCTCAGTTTTCGTCCCTTTTAAAAAGTATGGATCTATTCTAAAACGTGATAAACTCACACTGATGTCAACTAAGAAGGCTGTTACTGTACGATCGTTGTTTTCCTAGGATTTTACTTCAAGTGAATTTCATGTACATCAAGTCAATTTTCTTTATCAAAAACCCCTGTTGAAAGTGGGCCGCAGTTCCTTCGACATCATGGGTCTGCAAAGGGAGCTCGCTCTTACCACGTCGTATTGGACGTGCAACTTAGTATTGGCTCTATAATAAGAAAAATTGAGCATACAAGTCGACAGGATTAGGTTGTAAAGTTTTATTTATTGGCAACTATGAGACGCAATAATGTCGACCTATTATAAAAATTGATTTTTTAAAAGGCCATAATATAGACCATAAAAAGATTTTGAAAACTTTAATTAAAAGTCAACCGGTACAGTCCCTCTTGCCAGATCTCTTTTTGTTGGGTAGACAGTGTAATAGCTACAATCGGCGACAAAATTGTTGAGAAATTGTACTCAAATAGCATTTATTCAGAGAACAAAAGAATCCGCACTCCTCCCCTGCCCCCTCCATTTAAAGTTGGGGTGTTTGTTGTTTTCTATAGGTAGATCCAACATCGGCACAAGATTGCATGGAGTGGATGGGGGGAGGAAAAGCTATATTTCCTCCTTTTCAAGTCAGTGAAACGTAAAAAAGCCCATTTTAGGGCGAAGTGTCCCAACTCATTTTGTCGCCCATGGTAGCCTCAGAAAACAGACAACATTTTGCGACGCCACAGCCGGTTTCCCCGCGAAATGACGTCTGAAAACGAGCGCAGTAATTCCATAATGATGACGTGTCACTACACAGATCTGGGAAGAGCTTCTGATTGGTCGTGCCGCTCGTGAAATTTGCTTCAACCAATCAGAAGCACTACCCAGATCACACGTCATCAGTATGGAATTCCTGCGCACGTTTCCCAGACGTCATCTGATCTAGCGGAGACGCCAGGTGCCACATTCTACCTCGATCTCATGTGGTTACCAGGGCGTTTATTTAATTTTAGGGGTCCAACAGGGGGCGTTTAAAAGACGGGAGGCGTCTCATGGAGAAAAGCGTTTATTTTAAATTTTATAAGGGGATCTTTACAAAACTAATATGCTTTCGGCCAAAAAAAAATGAAGAGTTTATGAATAGCGTGGGCCAATAGACATACATATCTCAACTTCGATGCAACGCTTAGCAATGATTTTGCTACTTTATGCTAATTCTTAGTATTTTCGAGTAAATGTGATGAGGGGCATCTATTAGACAGGAGGCGTTTAATAGAAAGGGGCATACGATGCATTAACATTTTAGAGGGGCTTTTATTAAACAAGAGGCGTTTATTTGAAAGAGGGCGTCTATTTGATAATTTACGGGTATATGCGTATATCAAAACACCAACATCGATAAACTATTTTGTTTAACTTAACCAGCGCTCCAATTTAAAACATCGCCAACTATTATTTCCTGCTCTCATTAGATCAATAGTAAACACAGGAGAAATTTTAAAGTTTGACTCAAAATCATGGGTTAATCCCTTTGCGCGAAGTTAGTATCAATATGGTACATGTAACACAGGCAGCACTGCAAGACAGCTGTTTTGCCCTTTTAATTTCGTACCCGATCTCTTGTGTCAGCTTCGTCGACAATACATCTTGGGACGAGAGTAGAGTTCTTCTTTGGACTCATCAGTTGCTAGAACAGACTCCAGAATATTTTTGACGGCTATTTAAGCTCAAACGACCAATGTTATATCATTAAGAAACATCCTCCCTTGAACGCTTTAATTTTTCAAGCAGTGATTCAATTTACAAAATTTTATTTTCAATTTTTTGTGAACGACAAATGGGTTTCTTAAAATATATTATACTACTTAAAAGATAATTATCATCCGCAATCCATCCTTTACAAGGCCTTGCAATGTTTTTCCCGTGGGGTTTACAACATCGTGCTGTACCGAATACCGCAGCAATAATTTTATTCTATCTCATCATTTTTGTATTTCTCTCATTTTAGTGATGATTCGTCTCCTCTCCTTTTTGACATGCTTTCCCTCTCGACGACAACGAGAACGTCCAAAAGCAATTCTCTATTTTCGAATGCCTCATAATACACTCTGTTTGCCCTCCAAATATTGCATAAACCATTGTTTTCAAATGCTCCTAGGACTACCCCCTCCTTAGGCGCCTCGTTTCTAGCATGGTTTCGCATCCAAGAGGCGTGCGCGAAACGCGAGTGATTGGTGACAAAGCGCAAGGGACCATGGGAAGGCTAAAGCCCGTTTTCCTTCTTCACGCCTTCCTTTGCGCAAACTTTTATCGTTTGGGTACAAGGCACCTCCTGGGAGCTGAGTACTGCGTTTAACCAAGAGCATTTGAAGACAATAACTTATGCAAAATTTGGAGGGCAAACAGAATTTATTAGAGCGATTTTCGTATGACCTTGAAATAAAAACGCGCGAAAACAGAAACAACAAACGAACGAAAATAGAGCGATTTGATTGGCTTATCGAACGGATACAAAAGCCCGTGGCTTTTGGTTGGTTAAGCGAACGTTCGGGTGAAAAAACTTCATGCCCGAGAACTTTCCAGAAATCAATCAATAATTCGCTTTGACGTCATACTGCAACACGATTAGCCAATCGAGCAATGTCTTCTCCGGCGAGAAAACGAAGAGGCCATGTTTTGATCTTTTAATTCATTGGCTAATATATAAAAGAAGCAACGAACACTTAACCGAAACCATTTTTCAAGGTCATACGAAAATTGCTCCATGTGGGATTCGAAATAATCGACAGGGAGCTTAAGCAGCGACGTTCTTGAGGGACGCGCGTCAAACAAAGTGGACTTTTTGCACACTTGAGCTGTTAGTTTGTACAAAATTTTGGGTAAATCGTCTCTATAAGAGTAAAGACACTTAGCAATACAAATATGGTAGCGTCAAGGCATATTAAAAGACAAAAACGCTCACTTCCGGTTGAGGTGCGTCGCTCAAAAAAGGTGCTGCTTAAACTCCCTAAAAGGTAAATCAACAACACTGCACGTCCATCACGCTTTTTTGTACATTTCTGCACGACCACGACGTGAAATTGCCTAATTTCACGCTTCTTATGGAGGACATTAACAGGCGACAAAGAAATTTTCTTTCTCTTTCTGAACTTCGATACGGTTCTTAGGAATTCCGCTCCAGAAGAGTTCGCTTGCATTTGACAAAGTAAGCGAGCTGGAATAATCGCGATAGAGTTTAAAAGAACGCGAATTCACTTTTTAAGCGACGTTTTCGTGGCGTGGCCGTCGTCGACGAGGTATCTTAAACTCCTTATTCTCCTCCTCATGGTCGCCACCCTCGTCTGATGGCTGCTTCTGGTTACGTATATTCGCACATATGTCCACAACCCGCAGGACACCAGATATATTTTGTGAACCACTCTTGCATGTGAAGAAGATGTCCCCCATGACCGCAGCCTTGGCACCAAGCGTTCGGCCCCTTTACCATTAGATGACTAAAACAAGAGAAAAAGTTAGTGCGGCCATAGAAGTAACGCTTGAAGAAACTGGCCCAACTTTGTCAAGTTTCAATCCATTTCCATCCATGCCATCCGTTCCAACTGACGACGGGAAACAGTTTCAATACCTAAATATAGTTTAGCCTGTACTGCGGGAAGATTGGGGAGAGTAGAAATAGCAACCCTTAGGGGTAGGTCCTCCTCCCTTTTAGAGTCTCAACATGGCAATTTTGCGAGAAAAAACATTCGCCCGCCCGAAGAAAACGCCTGAACAGCAGGCTAAAATATAGTCTTAAGTGACAACTCTGGACCATTGGAATTCAACTGATGCGACGACTAGTTTTAGCTTTTTTTCAAACGACGACAAATACCTTAACATAGAACCTTTAATAAGAATGAAGGTGTTGGTTTTGAAAGTCTAATATCCCTGAAACTTAAAGTTTGGTTTTATCAATTCAACCCCCGTCAAAAAATGACTTGCTGATGTTTCGAGCGAACTCTTAGATAGAGCGAATCTCCGGGAGCCCGGGCGGGGGCGACTCAAAAAAGGGAGCTTAAGCAAAAACGACGGCGACGGCCTCGTAAACGTCACTTAAAAAGTGAATTCGCGCTACTTCAAACTTTATCGCGCTTATTCCAACTCGTTCAGTTCGTTAAATGTTGGCAAATTTTTCTGGAGTTGAATTCTAACAGACTGTATCGAAGTTCAGGAAAAGAAAAAGAAAGTCGTTGTCTTGTGTTCACTTCTTCGACAAAACTTGAAAATGGGCACCTTTACGTTGAAGTCGTGAAGCAACGGCAAAGAAATGTACAAAAAAGCGTGATGCATGTGCGAAGTTGTTTTTTTGCCAATCTAATCCTATTGCTTCTTTGCCGTTCTCGTTGCCGTCGCCGTCGTCGTTGCTTACGCTTCCTTAAGTTATATACGGGGAGGCTTCGCCCCAGGGTGCAACTCCTTATCCTTTTATGCACAATTTTTGACAGAAAAATAATTCCATTCAAAAATGGCTCCCCTTTAACATAACTAGTTGATTTGAATAAATCGCTTAAACGGGAAGTCTTGTTATTTTCGTGTAACGTTAAATAAATTAAAGTGATATAGCCAGGCCCTTTTAAATACTTTGATGATAGATTTTCCCTACCTTTCCAAATACGTCATCTCGTGTATTCCCAACCGTTTGATATACCTGGCGCCTTTCGGGCCGAACCTAGGCCATTAAAGGGAGTCCCCACCCCTCCCCCACCCGGGAGTGTGCTGTGTTTGGTTTATACATCGAGAGGGCGCAAAGCTATTGGTAGGAAAACAGTAACACGAAAGTTGAATGAAATGACTTTAAAATGGCTTCTGTTGGGATTGAGAGTGCCAACTGAAAAATAAAGTTTTGCCTTGAAGGCTGAAATGGTACGTGCATGGTTTTGATAAAACCTTTCTTATTTCTTTCAACATCTCGATAATGTTCGCGAAAGCAATCCCTCGATTCGCTCCAGCGAAGGTAGCACTTGAAACATCAGCTTTTCAATCTTTTAGTGGTTGTGAACTTGGATGAGAAAACCAAACTTTGAGTATTTGTTTTATAAGAGCCCAGATGTTAGCTTCATAAAAGAGACCGATAAAAAATAAACCTCCAAAGCTGCCTGGAATGTGGTACTAAAAGTAACCGGGAGCCCATAACCCACAGCAAGCAACTCCCATACTAGCCTGCGTGGCCGGCGTTTGAAAGGGAAGGGAAAGGGAGTTTTAGGCGCGAGAGAAACGCGAGGGGCGCGCGAGGAAGGAGATCCTCGCGCGTGGTCTCACGCCCTAATTCCCTTCCCCTTCTCTTTCGAACGCCTGCCACGCAGGCTACTCCCATACTAGGCCTATGTCACGGCGTTTTTACGGACCAGTGTATTTTTAGACACATTTTAGGGCGCTTTTTGCCGCGAAAATAGAACCTCCACCATGTCTACGGGCGCGTTCGAAGTATAAGATATAAAAAAGGAAAACTGAACGTTATTAAAAGGCAAAAAAAAAATCATTTTTTTAGGTTTGTAGGTTCTGCTGACTGGTTTGTGGAATTTAAAAGATATTCAAAATTCGCGCCCAAACCGTTCTAAAAACAAACTGGTCCGTGAAAACGCCGTAAAACAAGCGCACGGAAGTTGCTCGCTCCGGGTTATAGGCGCCTGAAGTAACAACGCCACTCCTTGACACTTATTTACAATTTTTAGAGTTCATATCATTAATTTATATTTTTCATTTAAAAAAAACGGCCCTAAATTTGTAGATTGAAAGAAATCTACTTACCATATGGAGCAAGGCGGAACTAGGGAACGACATCTCTCACAGTACCAGCCACACTTATTCACCGGCAGAGGTTTGGAACAACGACCACACACTGTATACACATGCGTAGAGGCCTGATCGAAAGAAAAGTTATTTTACATATTAACGTGGCTCCTACNGGGGGGGGGGGGGGGGGGGGGGGGGGGGGGGGGGGGGGGGGGGTTGAGGAGCCACAAGCAGCACAAGATCATGGAGTGGCCATTGAAGCTTGAAGCCCAAACAAGGTACAGTGCTTCAAGTATTTTTGCAACAGGTTGTAGCTCCCCTGCGTATGCGCGAATCTGATAGGTTTAAACAGTTATCCATTCGTGACCCAGTTGTTCAAACGCTTGATAGCGCTATCCACCGGATAAATCACTACCCAGCGGATAAGTATTAGGGAAAGTAACTGCGTTATCCACTGTACAGAGATTTATCTACTGGATAGCTAGCGTGATCTATCTTTTGAACAACTAGGGCCAGATGTCTAATACAAAAACCTGCTCATGAGAGATCGAAAATTTTATTTCCGGGGTCGAAAGTTTTCAAGTACTCAAAAGGCTGAAAACAGAAAAGGGACACACATGTGCCACTTCGCTGAAAAATAGATTTTACCTTGTTCAAGCGCCTGACAGTAGGTAGACTGGACAGTTTGATGATCTGTGTCGCAACTGACCACAGCTGAAGACGTCCTAGTAGGTCTGTTGTCACAAGGAAATGACGTTTAGCGTGGAAACTATTTCCCTGCTAGCAGAGGTCTCTCACGACGACGAGCTCCTTCCTCTCATTTTTGCCTCGTCGTGAGACAACCCTTCCTAGCACGGAAGGAAACTACATTAGAGAGTTTTAGATCCGAGTTTACCGCGAACCTCTAACCGCTGAAGGTCACGTGACAAGTCTTTCGCGTCCCGTTTGAGGTTTACGACGTGCGTTTTCAACGTGGGGAGGTAGGTTTTCACATAGGTCATTTACCTGAAATTCTTGTTTTATCTCACGTAATGATACAAAAATCTTGTGGAGCAAGTCTTTATCCATTGACAGAGGCACAAATTCGGGCGAAATGCTAAATTTGATAAATCCTATTGGATCTTGAAAACAAGTGCCATTTATGGCTGCTGATTCAAAATGGCGGCCGTAAATTTGCAAGAAGAACTAATGTAAGAATTTACAGCTCTTTGCTGCTAGATAACCAAGTGTTATTCTAAATTTCTTTTATTTTCACTGATTGATATTTCTTCTNTTCCTAGCACGGAAGGAAACTACATTAGAGAGTTTTAGATCCGAGTTTACCGCGAACCTCTAACCGCTGAAGGTCACGTGACAAGTCTTTCGCGTCCCGTTTGAGGTTTACGACGTGCGTTTTCAACGTGGGGAGGTAGGTTTTCACATAGGTCATTTACCTGAAATTCTTGTTTTATCTCACGTAATGATACAAAAATCTTGTGGAGCAAGTCTTTATCCATTGACAGAGGCACAAATTCGGGCGAAATGCTAAATTTGATAAATCCTATTGGATCTTGAAAACAAGTGCCATTTATGGCTGCTGATTCAAAATGGCGGCCGTAAATTTGCAAGAAGAACTAATGTAAGAATTTACAGCTCTTTGCTGCTAGATAACCAAGTGTTATTCTAAATTTCTTTTATTTTCACTGATTGATATTTCTTCTATTTCTAAATGGAAAAATAAACCAGAATCCACTTCTTTAAACCACCGCCAATCTAAATCGAATTATGTTTGAACTTCGAACCACAAACGGGTAACCTCAAACTGCGGTTAGAGGTTCGCGGTAAACTCGGATCTAAAACTCTCTATTATGAAATCGACAACTACAAATAAAGTTCGCAGATAGAGAATTTTGGGTATTTGTGCAATCTGTGAAAGTAGGAAGGGCACCTTTTTCGCTTGGCGCAAGGAACTCTCTGAAACCATCTCGTTGCCAATTAGTAAATTACAAAAAGAATGTGCCTTACCGATTCCAGGACAACGGACACTGCATATAACCGAATCTCCACTTACAGCTTAAGACGACAATCTCCCCCCACACTCCACGCCTACTTTTACTGTCATTTGCAAAAATTGCAGAAAAATCTACAAACCTATTGGCCAGTTTGGGAGCTTCTGACATAAATCGAAATGGTACTTACCAATGTAAGACATAAGCCACTGTTCTTGAGTTTGTTCGTCTATTTTGTCACGGATTTTATCACCAAGAACAATTAACGCCGAAGCACACATTTGAACGTCACCCTGTCATCATCAAAATTCTCAGTAAATACCACTTATTAACCGAGAGTGAGGTTATTACAGGGAAATCTCAGATCTCGGCCTTGATGCGTTGACCTCGATAACGCTCGGTTAATACATCAAGGCCGAGGTCTGAGATTTCCCTGAATACGTAATGACCCAACGGACGAGGTTAATAAGTTACTTATTTTATGGCCATTTTAGCGTTATTCTTAAAATGAATAAAATAAAATAAAAAAACACCGGAAGTAATTTTCAACATCCGCGAGCAAGAGGTCATTCGAAGTCGCGTTCAATGAACCGACATGAATTTGGCGATGCGATCGAAATTCCTTAGACAATGAGAAATTTTGGACCTGAGCCTGCGATCAATTAAAACCAATTATTGGTCAGCAGATGACTTACAATTGAGCCCGCGATACAGTCATGTGACACTGATCAGCGGATACCCTTTTTTGACAGCTGTTAATTGACTATAACGTGAATGTCCACTATCAAGTTAAACACAGACCGTACATGCCTTGGACACAAGTAATGCCCGGTCAATACAAGAAAATCTTGCCCGCTTTGCAGCCAATCAGAGCGAGTACTATTGTAGCCATCTAATATATATGGATGGCCACGGTCATCATCATAAAGATCTTTAGATTCAAGGACGAGAACGACTACGAGTACGGGATTTGATTTAAAGTTTTTTCTCGCACTGTCAAAAAATGGACACCCCGGAACGCATCATTACACTTTTTCACCGGAAAAGTTAGTACTACTATCTTTATTGGAGGAGTTTAAGCCCTTTCCCGATCGAAAAATGATAAAACTTCTTACATTTGATAACTTGTTTCCGTCACTATAACACTCTCGCTAAAACTCGTAGTAGAAAGACGAGGGCTACTACGTTTTTACGCCAAAACGACGCTGACTCACGCGTGGCACTACTTAGTATTGGCAAAATCTCGCACTCGTTGTCGTACTCGTCTTAGAATCAGAAATTCATAAATAAGAGGAAACGTGTAACTCGCGTACAATGTTCGTGAACATTCATTTTTCTAAGTACAATATTTGGAAACCCTTGCTGCGGCCTCAAAAAGCCGGTTTAACAACAACCTTGCACCTGCATCACGCTTTTCTGTTCATTTCTTTGCCATCACTGCAAGACTACGACATGAAAGTGCCTATGATTTAACATTTGTGGAAGGCAAAACAAAACAAGACAGCGAATTTCCCTTTCTTTTCCTAAACTTTAATTCAGTCTTTAGAATTCAACTCCAGAAAAATTTGCTGGTACTTTTGAAAATGAATATTCACGAGCATTAGACAAACCAAACATATGAGGGTTACCCGTTTCAACCCCTTTTGAGTTGCTGTTAGAATCAAAAAGTCTCTAATAACAGTGGTAAGGGTAATGATGTTAGTGATGTTCGGAGAATTGAGCTAGTGAAGTTGGATTGACGATCGTAAAAGCGATGGCTTGCCCCATGCAAGATAATCTGGACTGGGGAACCCGCGAGATTTTTACTTGTGGAATCTGGAATTAGAAAAAATGATTGCTTATGGAATCTGGAATCCTGGGGCATCCATTCAACCAAACTTTCCGGAAATTTCGGTCCAAAACTCAATGGATCGGTTCGGTCCAATCGGAAAAGTTTCGAAAAAACGGGTCCACCTTTTGAGGTGGTCCCCTTTTCCCGGTCGGACCGGTATGAATTTTGGTTGAATGGATCGCGCCCCTGGGCTCAAGGAATCCGGAATCCCGCTAACGATGGGGATTCGGAATCCAAGTTCCAACGACTAGGAATCCGGAATCCAGGGCCTGGAATCAGACTCCAAGACTGTCTTCCGAAATCCCGCAAAAACTTGGTTGTAGAATCTGGAATCCCGGAAATATTGGCTTATGGAATCTGGAATCCGGAGTTCTAGGTATAGGTGATAGTGGGGCTGATGAGGAAGTGATGATGGTGAGGATAATGAGAATGGTTTGGCAATGGTTGGTGATGAGGATGGTAGTACTTACGAGGAAGAACAGGATAGTGATGTAGAAGCACTAGTGAGGATCCTAAGGTGGTGATGGACGAAATTGATGAACGTGGTGGTGGCAATGGTGATACGACCAGTGGAATAATGGAGGTGGCGATGGTGGGTGTAGTGTAGGGATAGAGAAGGAAATAATGGCGACGGTAATGGTGAGGTTAATGAGGATGGTAAATACATGGTTTCCACAGTGAGAGGTTTTCTAAAATTTCCTGACTTTTTCCTGACAAATGTAAAATTTTTCTGACCAACTGAGTTAACAATTTCACAAATTAGTCCTGATAATGGACTCTATGCTCCCCTCACAGTAATCCCCTCCACCCATTTTTTTATGCTTTCAGCAGGTTACGGGCAATTTACATAAACTGATAGTTCCTTAATATAACGCGCAAAAAGGATTAATTTCTTTCAAAACTCAACATTAGCATATTGTTCAATTTCATGAAAAATATTCTAACAATACAACACGAGTCAGGTCCCTAAAATGTACAAATGTACTCTTAAAATTTCACTTTTTCCTGACCTCTTTCAGAGACTTCTTTTAAATTTTCCCTGAATCGAAGTGAAATTCCCTGACTTTTCCATGACCTTGAAGAAATTTTATTTTCCGTGACCATTTCTTGACCTGTGGCAACCATGAAATATGGTGAAGGAAATGGGAATGTCGTGGCAATGGTTGGTGACAAGGATAGTCGTGGTTATGGGGAGGATCGCGGTGGTTATACACAAGGACGAGTGAGGATCGTAAAAGAGATGGTGGCAACGGTGAGATGACAGGTGGAATGATGGAGGTGGCGATGGTGGGATGGTGAGTGTAGCGTAGTGGGTGGAGTTGGGAATAATGGTGTG